AACTGCAGATCCCAGGATTCTTTGGGGAAATTAATGTGCTTTATTTTTATTATTAAAATTTGTATACCACCCTTCATCCAAAGATCATCAAGGCAGTAATTCTTGTTTCTATAAATACTAACAAAATATCCACTATGTTTCAGGTGCCATGGTGGTGGGTGGTTTGTATGTTTTAGGGATATCTGAGCTGCTACCATGCATCTCTATCTGCAGCCTCTTTGAACCTTTAACAGATTGCCAAATATAAATCACTGCACAATTAAAAAACAACAACAGCATATGGTCAAGAAGACTGTCAAAGCTTGATTCTGATGCAGCATCTCAGAAATGAAGAGCCTCAGAAACTAGGGAAATTTTAGAGCCCACCATTCATCTTAAATCCCAGAGCATTTTATTTTATAATTCACTATTTAATGTAATGTAACTTATTGTTCTTAAATGCTATGTCACAATTCACATTAAAGAATGGTAAAACCTTTCTTAAAATTCTTCCTAGCCTTGCATAACAAAATAACTTATTTGAGGAATATTGGACCTGGCTTCTGAGATAGCTCAGAGTCTTTCCCTTTGCTAAAGTTGTAGATAATATGATTTAGCCATGGAAACTGGACTTATTCATACCCTATTGAATTGTAAGGTTAAGGGCTGACACTGCAACCTTACTTTCATTGCCTGGATAAAGGAAGCCATGGTAGTTGCCAAGTGGTTGATATTCCAGTCATGGAAGGCCAAAATTCAGCCTGGTATGGAGATACAGGCCATGGATATAGTAGACATTCTGGCAAATGGAAATAAACAGACCTGAAATTTCTAAAGAGATCTGGTTCATACCTTGAACATTTGACCACTTTAATTTGCCTCTGGACCAACAAACATTGGTAAATGTGCCTTCTCTATCCTTTAATTTTTATCCTTTGCATGATGAATAGGAAAAGTGAAGAAAGAAGTAGGAGAGAGGCAAATATATTGGGCTAGGAATAGAGGAAGCTGTGTTTAAGTCCATTTAGTTCAATATTGTCTGGGTTGATGGGTAGGGTTTCAGAAAGAAGTCTTTTCTAGCCATACCTGGAGCTGCCAGAGATTGAAACTGGACTTTATGTATGTAAAGCTGTGCCATAAGCTAGGGTCCTTCCCTGCTTCATATTCTAAAGATTTTCAAAGGATCATTTTCAAACCGTTAACTCAGGGTCCACTGAAATAAATATTAAAAGTTATTATTCCAGTGATTTCAATAGCACCTGTGACTAATACTATTCTGTGTGTATGGTGGATGATTGCCCCATCCACATTAGAATGCTCACCCTGGATTAAATTGGTTAGATTTTTTTTATTATTTTTTTTGGTAAGAATAGGCAATGGTTCACATCTAGGGACACTACTAACAAGTAGTGTCCCTGGATGGGAACCAATGACTAGTTGCCTATTACAGCAAATTTTGTAGAAATAGGCAGGGGGGAAATCTATAAAATGGGCAGGTAACAGATTAATTTGAGCAAGTTATGTTAGTGTTTGTGCAAAAGTGTGCAATTACTCAGAACTCTTTTTCTAATTCTGAAGTCGGACATACCGTACCTAACTTAGCAGTTCCTTTACTGTTCTATGTTCTGTGATGTCCAAATATATGTTATCTTGGCAAATGTGTTATTTGACCAGAGGTCACTGGAAGCAGTAGGACTAGAGCTATAACTGTTTCCATTTCCAGACAATGCATGTATTTTTATAAACCAAGAAATATTTAATAAAAAACAATAAATAACCCATAACTGTTTCCATTTGCTACATCACACTATTGATGCAGTTGCATTTTGTAGTTTAAAATTTTAAGTATTCAAGATCTATCAACTGCCTTTCTACAAAGAAAACATGATACCATTTTATTCTTGTTATCTGTATCACTTCCATTAATCACAGTCACCAAGAAACACACACACTTTTAATTTACTGATCAATAATGTGTTGGAGCATAGGTTATGTTGGACCTGTGACAGAAACTCCCAGAAAGGAATCTAATGATTTTACAAACTAAAGTCTGTTTCATCTTCGTGTGAGGCTTTTGTAAAAAAACAAAACCAGACTAGGTGTGTCACAAATTAACTTTAATTACTTCTGCCTTTATTTATTTTGCTGGATGGTTTGGGTATGTCATATACAGCTAGAAGAACTACACATTTACGGTAATTGGCTGCAAGTTAACAACGGAAGAAGGAAATCTCCATGACTGCCCAATGTGATGTGCACTCCTTGCGATACTAGGCAGGAGAATACGGCAAAAGCTTTTATACTCTATAGAGAACCCTATGCAGAACTCTTAAACGTAAATGAGTACATTGCCAAGCCATCCAAACAGATGGTGGAAGGAAGAAAAGCAGAGAGGGAGCCAGATTTATAGAAAAGTTTTGCAGAAAACCCCATTGCTCTTTACTTCAGTGGAGATAGTTAATTAAATATCTACAATAACTGTACTCCACACATACACCAAAATTGGGTTAAGATGCTGAACAGGATCTTTCTGCTGGAGCCACCAATAGAAAATTTCTGAACATTTGGCTCTCCAGAAGCTGCTGAACTACAGTTCCTATTATCCTTAGCCTTTGAGCATGCTTGGTGGGGCTGATGGAAGTTTTAGTTCAGCAACATCTGGAGTGCCAAATATTATCCACACTTGGATTGGAATCGCAATTACACCACCAAAACAGATAGATAGAGCTGCCAGTATGTTGGAAGGAAGTGATTTATTTATATTTGTATCTCATAATTTCTCTAATAATCTCAAACAATATTTTAAACAAGAACCTAGAGAGGCTTGAGCTTTTTGCTGCTTTTCTGGATCAGAGCTAATGATCTGCCAAAAACTGACCAATGAGGCAGGGGCTATAGATAGATTTGAATTCATATCTTTCCAAGTCCAAAAGTTTACATATGTTATATATGTAGCATGCTGTCAAACGTATCAAAATCACATCATCATAGGAATATGGAATAACCATACCTACATGAAGAGAAGGGAGCAATACACCATTGTAAAAGGTAATTACATTATGAGGACCAAACAGAACTGAAGTAGTGGCCACTCTATGAAAACAGAATCAGATGAAATTAGTGGGCAGGGTAGAAGAGTGGAAAAGAAATATGAAATAACTATTCACAACAAAACTTGCCAGATCTGTTTCTGAAGTGATGAAAAAGTAAATTAGTCTAGTATTGAGTCTAGTAATCTTAAGGTGCTATTAGGTGTGTAAGTGCATTCTTGGCAAGGTCAACAGAAGTACCATTTGAGGACTAGGCAGTCCAATTTCCAAACAGTAACGACTTTAGTCTTACAATAGATATCTGAAGGAGGCATTAAGAACTCAGCTTTACGACTTTGATTAGATGATTTGTCCAAGATCTAATCATTGTATATGATAGAAGAAAACAATACACATAGATTGATTTCCATTCTTGTGCCTCTTCAAAAAAAGAAGAGAGAAATCTGATTATCTGTTAACCTATTTTTGCTCATAAACTCGGCGTATTGTCTTTCCCTACAATTGCCATAATGATCAGCCTGATGAGAGACCAGAAGTAAACAATGTAAAGCGCAAAAGAGCAATTGAAGAAATAGATTCTACAGTAAGGCATCTTCCTGAACACCATGTTTACCAAACGTGTTGCGCAAGCTGATTACAAACTAGCCCATTTATTTTGTGAAGAGGCATATGGGACTCATCGCTCTCTTTATCCCGAAACTTCAGAACTAAAGGAACTACCCAGTGAGGAAGTCCCACTAAGACTAAATGGAGTAGAAATCTGGAAAGGAGATGCATGAAAGGGGATTATTTCTTTCACCAAAACCTTTGGACAGTTAAAAAATAAAAATAAATCAACCCCCCCCCCCAAAAAAAAGTGTGTGCATGGGGGAGTCTTGTGGCATCTTAAAAATTATTGTGGCTGGAACTTTCAAGGGCAAATCCTCTCCTTAATTACTCTCTTTCCTATTTGCTTGCTATGACAGACTCCTTCAGGATTATTACTTTTTTTAAACAAAGGAGGAAATGCTTTATAAAAGAACTTGTGCTGAATAGCACCAAGCTCCATCTTGTCTACATGAAGCCAACAGCCTCCGACCATGGAGCTCCTTGGATGCCATGAATTTGCTTTGCTCTCTCTTCACCTCCCTTCCCACCCCGCCTATACAAGTTAAACGCGGCTTTATCAAGTCCCAAACAGGGCTCAGGCTTTCGGCTTCCCCTCCGAAAAACCAAAACAAAACAACAGCAAATATTCCTCTTTTGAGCATGTGCAGAGGGCGCTTTCCCTAGTCCGTTTGGGATTAGGGGTAGGTAGCGCTTTCAGACTCTTAGGCTTAGCCATCCCACTGGAGGTTGTGAACCATTCTGTGATCTTCGGGAGAAGGGCGGCATACGAATTCCACTAAATAATTTTATTTTTAATGAAGAGCATGGCGCCGGCTCGAGAGGGGCGCCCGGCTCCCCGGGATTGGCGGCAGGCGCGCAAAGTCTTTCTCACCTGTCAGCGTCTGAGGGAAATCAAAGCCCCTGAGCGCCTCGCCGAGCGCACCATGGGCTGGAAAAGGGCGGGAAAAGCGGGCTTCGCCGGCGACGGGCTGCCCCCTCGGCGCTTCGGTGGGCGGTGGTCGTCCGCGTCTCCTTCACTCCGGGGCCAGGCGACAACGGCGGCAGCTCGCGGTCTCTTTCTCTCCCCCTGAGAGCGTCAAAAAGTTCTTCCCTGTTGCTTCGCCGGCGGCTTTTAACCGCGCCCCCTACCTGCCTCCCGCCCTCCTTCCCTTGACGTGCCGGGACAAGAGGAGGAGGAGGCGAGGCCTCGTCTTCAGGGAGGCGGGAAAAGGGCGCGAGGGAAGAAGAAGGAGAAGAAGAAGAAGAAGAAGAAGAAGCAGGGCAGGAGAGAGAGGAGCCTCTCTCAGGGTGGAGAGGCGACGCCGAGTGGAGGGAGACGGGCGAGGCCTCCCTCGGCCCCGGCGCCCTGCAGGTGTTCCTGGACGGCGGTTCCCGTCACCCCCGACCGCGATGGTGCATGGCGGGCACCCGGTTGGGGAAGTCAGCGCTCTCGACACCCCCTTTTTATTTTTTTGCTGGGGCAAAATCGGCTATTCAATGGTAGAACCTCCAACTACATACCAAAAGCATCCAAACCGCAGAGGGTAGAGTTAGGGCATTTTATTAGAGCCACCTCAACGTCCCAAGAGGGCTTCAACCGAGTTCAGGTAATAAATGCAGGTGTGGTGGAAAACTACACGCAGAGCTGGTCTGAGTGACCATGCATGAATTAGCTATATTTGTATATCACTTTCCAGGATACAATGCTCTGGGGAACTTCTGCCCCTTCCCAGCCAGAGTTGAGCACATTTGAGTCCCACAGATTTCAGCAGGAGAGATCATAATAATCTTGTTTTTATTATGCATGTGGTGCTTTTATATTGTATTTTTATGTTATGAACCACCCTGAGATCTACAGATGAAGGGTGGAACACAAATTATAATAATATAATATAATAAACAGAATAGTTGGAAGAAACCCTGAGCATTATCTATTCCAGTCCCATACAGTGCCAGAATACGTAGCTGTCCCATACAGGGATCAAACTTGCAACCTTGGCATTTATCAGCACCATGTTCTAACTGACAGATCTATCCAGATCTGACCCAAGTCTATGCACAACTCCATCCCATAGCAAGACATGTTTAATTTGGTGGGAACAGGATTAATTATTAATTAAATTGCTTAATTAATTTCAGACATTTGATTGCACTTATTGATGGTCAGTCATATGCTGCGTTTCAAATTGGTGTAACCTGCCCTGGGACATTACGGTGAAGGGTGGGAAATAAAATAATAGTGGTGATGAAATAAGGAGCTTCAGTGAAAATACCTCTTGAAAACTTTGCAAATCATGTCTCCACTAGACAGGCACGAACTTTGAAGAAAGGGTGTGCAAGATCAACTGTTGGGATATTGGAAAGAGTGCTTGTGTCATACATAACACTCCTTTTCTGCAAGGATTAGGAAGGAGAGGCAGGGCATTCTGGAAGCACTTGTGAAAGCTGGTCTCCAAGTTCATATTTCTTCATTCATGTGGGGGAAAGTGTTGTCTCCTTTCACAAATTGTGGAGCAATTATTATGCCTCATAATAAAAGTCCCCTGGATGAAATCTGACATGCTCCCCAATTCCAAACAGGGCTATTCTGTGCCAAAGTTATTAAGTGCAAGGATACGGAGAGGAAATTGCACCTTGAAAGCAGATAATCTGCTGAATGGTGGTTTAAGTTGAAACACATCTGCATCAGGCAATAAGATATGCTGTTGCTATTGCTAACACGTGCCAAAAAACCATTTGAAGATAAGCTAAGTTTTCTGTGAAGCCACCTCACAGGAATAACTAATGTGATTTTAAATATAACTGATATCCATATCTTCGTGAGATTTTTGAAACGAATACAGCTTGCTTGAAACAAATGCAGCTAACTTCAGGTAGTAAGCATTCAGCCTATTGGTTAAAAAGAGAGTTGAACACCTCTCCATTCTTTGCTATCATTGATATTGCACAGATGCAAAGGAGAAGTAATTTTATTGATTTAAATATTTATTAAATTTATATACTGCCCTTCATCCAAAGATCACAGGGCTATTTGCAACATCAAAATATAAGACAAGAACACAAAATACATAAGAAAAACAAAACAAACACATCTGTACACCATTCATTTTCTAAATCACCTAGATTGCCTTTTGAGTGACTAAAAACAATCGATCTGGTATATGACATCAAAGTTTGATTTGTTGCTGAAACACTATGTTTTGATAAATAGAAGATACAACTGCTTGATCCTTTGGATCTTAGAGCACTTGCAGACTCACTATTTTTGAGTGGGATTCAATCAATCAGGTTGGCAACAAGATTAGATTTGTTACAATAAGGAAAGAGATAGGAAAATGCACTGGAAAGTATGGGGAAACACATGCTTTTAACGCAATGTCATCTAACCTCCCCACAAACAAATCAGAATGAATTCTCATTAAATAGCAAACAGCATCCAGTTTCCCTCTAAACAAATCAGGATGAGTGCTCAATAAACATGTTGGCTGGGACCACATTTAATGCTGCAGTCAGCATGTTTCACAGATAACTCTTCAAACTCAACTTTATCACCTGAAGTCAGCAAGCATTCTCCGTCCTCCCCAAGTATATTTTTGTTTCAAGGTTAGTTTATCCAGTTTTCAGATCTCACAACTGAATTGCTTAGGAAATATTTTGTTTGTTAGAAATAAATTGCTATCTGTTTTGCTTTAAAATTCTGGCTTTCCTGAATGCAATATCATTCAATAAATAACTGATATATGTTTCTCAACCTGGGATAGCTCTGTTATCCCAGGTTGGGATAGATTAAGAGCATGAGATTGCAGGGGGTTGGACTAGATGATCCTCATGGTCCCTTCCAACTCTACAATCCTTTGATTCTATTATCTCTCCCTTTAGGCATCTCCATTTATCTTATGCTGCCCACCAGTAAACATCTTGGTTTACTATTTCAGCTTGTCAAACAACAACAACAAATGAACAACACCTGTATTCTTCCTCTGACTCTGGAAAAGGTACATGTGTTTTTACTTGTTAAAATTACTGGCAAAAACAGATAGCCAAATGAACCAAACTAGATGGTTCCTTTTTCCTAGCTACTTTCAGGCAAGACTTTTGCGAGTGATAAAAGCACTGAATCAGCATACATAGACCTCTCAATGCGAAGAACTGTTCAGACTCTCATGCCGCTTGTTTCACTGCTGATCTATACATAATAGCAGGTTCAGCACAGCAACTATGCAAAACCACAAATTGCAAACTGATACCTCTTGATTGAGGTATGTTTCATCACCAACACATGCACTTTTTTTTTACTTACTCCTGTTGTTTCTGGAGGAACAACTGTTTTGAATAACTCCTACAGAACTAATAGGCTAAACCAGGCATAGGCAAACTCAGCCCTCCAGATGTTTTGGGACTACAACTCCCATCATCCCTGACCACTGGTCCTGTTAGCTAGGGATGATGGGAGTTGTAGTCCCAAAACATCTGGAGGGCCGAGTTTGCCTGTGCCTGGACTAAACAATTTAGTCTTTTGCATATCTCAGAAACTCCCAAGAATTATTAGAATCTTTTAGTTAGCTGAAAGTGCTATCTGCCTATATCTGTGCACCCAGTGAAAGCATGCAATGCTTTCTGTAAAGTTTTCTCTTTCTGTAGAGATTTCCTAAACCTCCAGTGCCGGGATATATACATATGCTGCAAGGGATGCCATATTTTAAAAATTTGGTCTGAATTTAGTGGTCAGGTAATTTTAAGCATAGTTTAACAAACTTTTCCTCCTATTTACTTCTTTCTGAAAGAGGTCAGCATTCTAGAGACTAAATCACACTAGTAGCTGTAATGTCAAACATGCCCCCTTGATGTTTGCCTCCAAAGGTCATTCTTGAAATAAGTTATTTAGATAAATCTTCTTGTAAATAAGAACACTTACTAAAATCTTGTATTAGTTTGATAAGAGATAAATTCCAGTTGATTAATGTGGAATGCAGAGCATCTGGTGTTAATTCTTATTTTTATAATAGTATTATAGCATATTGCAAGAGTACAAGTGGAACCTGCAACAAATGGTTGCAGTGCATTACCCAGCCTAAAATGAGAGTTCCTGTTCAGTGTTCAAGCTGCCCATCCCTTCCAAGCAGGATATTCCACTTCTCCCTATTCCATTTTCCTTTTCCAACTGTCGTGCTGCATTCCATGACTACTGAACCCCTAAGGGAATTTTACTACTGTAGTGTTGTTGTTTTTTAAGAGTGTATTTCTGAAAACCCAGGGTTCCCCTAAGCATGATGATACTTTCCTCTTGTTTTCCAATGGCCTTGCTGCCAGCGCTCCAACTTAAGCTCTATTATGAGAGCACAATATTTCAACACAGTTTGCCTTTGATGTACATGGCAAGACACACACTTGCTAAAGCAGGAAAAGAAAAACTCACTTGAGCCCTAAAATTACACCCACAGAGTCATTTCCTTTTCTGCATAATTACCACATGACAATATGAAGTGTCACAGAGGTCTCCTGTAGGTTGTTCGTTAGCTATTCTAGCTCAGGCAATGGGATCCTTAAGTTTTTAGAAGGAACAAGGGTGTCCAAACAGAGAGGAGGTGTATTTGGGGTTGCTTCATTGAAGTGAAAACCTGAGGTGGAAGAGTCCACATGTAAGGTGAAATAGAATGTTGCCAATGTGGCAGTATCTCAGTGACTTAAGATTTCATCTGTTATGGTCAATTCATATTTTCATTTTTTTATTTAGTGAAATGTTTAGACCACTAAACATCAAAATATCCAAGCAGTTTACATTGTGCATTGCAATAATCCTGTCTTGAGGTATGAAATGCATAAACCACTATAGCTAAATTATCCCTGTCTGGGATCAGTTGTAGCTGATGTACCAGCTGAAGCTGGCAGATGACACTCTTAGCCACTGTGGTCACTTCCAGTGACAAAAATGAATATAAGAGCATGCCCCAGGCTGCAAACCTTTTCCTTCAGAGGAAATGTGACCCCACCCAGAACTGGCAAATCTTCTAGATTCCTTGTGGTGTATTCAGTTCTTACAATGCTGTGAACAGCAGCAGCTATCATCACCACCACCACCCACTCTTCACCAGCAGATCCCAGGATGGGTTACAACAATTTAAAAACAGGTAAAACTGAGGATAACTGAGAGTTTTGTGTGCACCATCTTATGTGACAGAGCTTCAGAGGTCATTTTGTATCAGTTTGGCCAGAGCACCCTAAAATGCTCAGGGTGGGTGAAAAGCTGTCTGATAAAAGTTTATGTATATAAAGAAGCTCCTTGCAGGGTCATCTGAGATGTCAAAGCAGGCATAATGGCACAGCAGCCTACAGGAGCCTGAACAATTTTTCTGCAGGCTTCTGCTTGGAAACAAGAAAAACCAGTTGCTCATAACTTGATTCTCTGAGAAGAGTTGTGCATCAGGCCAAAAGGGATGAGTGTGGTTCCATAGCGGAATGACCTGTTTGAAGCTGAAAACATTTTATTCACTTTGCATGTCTGCTTGCTCATCTTTGTGAAAGTCATGTATACTTCTATGGACAATTCACATAGAACTGTAACCAACAAAGCCAATGACTGTAACCAGTGATAACTGCTGAGTGTTCTATACTGATTCCTGTTGAATCCAGAAACAATCCTCAGCCAGCTGCACTGGGCTTCCTTCATAATTATACCATTCTACACCATTCTGTCTGATCCTCCCATCCCATTTGATCATTTATTCTAACTTGTGACTCTGGATAACATTTGTCTTCCCAATCCCGAGCTAAAGCAGGACACATGAGAAAGGAAATGTTTGGTTTTTTCCAGATATATTTGCATCTGCATGCTGGTTACTAAGGTACACAAAATGGCTTAACATCCTTTCTCCTCCTTCCACTTTAATAAGCTCATAGGTAAAGGTAAAGGTACCCCTGCCCGTACGGGCCAGTCTTGACAGACTCTAGGGTTGTGCGCTCATCTCACTCTATAGGCCGGGAGCCAGCGCTGTCCGCAGACACTTCCGGGTCACGTGGCCAGCGTGACAAGCTGCATCTGGCGAGCCAGCGCAGCACACAGAACACCGTTTACCTTCCTGCTGGTAAGCGGTCCCTATTTATCTACTTGCACCCAGGGGTGCTTTCGAACTGTTAGGTTGGCAGGTGCTGGGATCGAACGACGGGAGCGCACCCCGCCGCGGGGATTCGAACCGCCGACCATACGATCGGCAAGTCCTAGGCGCTGAGGTTTTACCCACAGCGCCACCCGCATCCCTTAATAAGCGCATAGCTTCTCTTAAGTCTCTCAAGTGTCCTGACTGCAGCTATCACCCATGAATGAATGGAAAGTTTTATGGGAGAGATAAGGCTGCAGCTGAGCATTATAAACGAAGCTGTCAGTTGTAGCATTAGTCCAGAACTTGGAATATCCCAGCTGATTTATCTTATGTATCTTTCAATTCATCCCTTTGTTCTCCAGTTTACATAGCAACCCAATGTGGCTGGGGGAGGGAAAATTTGAGACACAGAAAGCACCAAATCCAGAGCTATATAGAGGTCACACGCTGGGTGGGTTTCCATGACTTTTAAAAAAGCCCCTCCCATTGGTTCCATTAGGGTAGGGTAGGGAGATACTAATGCTAGCTCCAGGACCAATGTACTTCTTCCCACTACACGCCCCCCCCCCATTCTGGGGGCACATCAGGGAAATAGGAGGACAATTTTCTGTCATGCCCCTCCTTGGCCCCCTTGTTTTCAGAGCAAGATGTCCTTTATGTGGCATCTAGGAGAGGGAGTTCTGCAAAATCCTGTGATCCTGAATCACTCTCCCAGGATCCATAGGATTGTGCTTATCAGTTTAATTTCTGTCGGTTAAATTAAACCAGTTTGCTTCTACTTGCCTCTAATACCCACTAACTGTCATTTTAATACACTGCTCCTTATCAGATGTTTTGTTATGAGTCATTGCTGTATTTCTGTACAAAAACCAGGCCTGAATCCCAACTGCAAGGAAAATCTTAAATTACACACTTGACATTTATATGTACCCACTTTGGGGTTTTTTATGGCTGTTTGTATTGTTAGCGGTATCTAAGAACAATATAATAATAGATGATATTTATTAATGCTTCCTTTAAATTTCATTCATGCTTCCAGTAACTTCCAAAATGCTGCATCAGTGCAATCATCTCCTAACTATAGACTACTATGCATTCACCCGATTTCATTATTTGCTCTCTTTTTTCCATTCATATGCTATTATCTTCCCTTTTGCTGTCAGCTGCACTATGTTTTTTTCTGTTGTTCTTGCATAGCCCATCCAACACTACCTTTTATGAATGCTATTTATTAATGAATTGACTCAGATGGACAAGTAATATTTGTTCACATGTTACAGTCCAAACTAACTACTTGCCAATTGGCATCTCTCTGTAGTGGGTATTTTTGGATATTTTTTTTTCTCCTTTTTCGAGTTAGTTCTACTGTAAACTTCTATCTTGAAACAACATTTCTTACACTTTCTTATGGTTTACCAAGTTTGTTTCATGTTACCTAGTGGCCATTGGAGAAGTTTCCATTGCTGAGCAAAGCTAAATACCGGTACTAATATCATTGCATTGATGCCGGTTGATGTAACTGGTCATCACCCACTTTTAACACCCAGTCTCTTTCCTGTATATAGCATGGATTAGCAAGTACTTCCCAGTTCTGTAACCTGTGGTTATTCATACCTAGACTATGTGATTATTCATTACTGTTTATTCATGTCTATGTTGTTGCTTCATAATGGAGATTATGTTATTTCCAATTTGTTATTTCAATGTTACTTTTTAAAAAAATAAATAAATCACATTTTGCTAACGTTCTTCAAAACATTAGAAATCATTTCCTATCAATATAGACCAATAGCATGTCTTGCTTTAATTTAACTTCTATGTGAGAGGCGGCTAACCATCTTCGGCTGAGGGCTGCTTTGCCAAACAGCCACCCCATCAAGGGTCACATGACAGTGGTC